AATTTTTAATATCTATGTCTACAGAGTATGTTCACACCAATTCAACTCAAAAACTAGTTCTAGCAATCAAGAAGTCTTTGGAAAACAATGATACACAAAATATTTCTCTTGAATATTTTAATTTACGTATAATTGAATTTCTTTTTTTTTTTTGTGGTTCTAGGGATTTAACCAATGGCCTTGTGCATGTGAGGTAAGCACTCTACTAACTGAACTATGTTCCCAACCCATGAACTCCTTAATAATTATATTTATTTAAGAGATATTATTTAAATTTTCCTTAGTTTATTTTATTGATCAGAAGGGAACATAGATATTCTTTCATTAAAATAATAAAATATTATGATATTCTTTTAATTACCAACTCTTTTTAACAAATCCAATCAATTTAGAATAGTTTTGAGTAAAATAGACCCCCTCTGTCCAGTTCTATTTCCAGATGTAACCATTGTTAATGCCAGATATGTATTAATTTGGTTTTTAATCTATGTTTACATTTTCAGTCATGCTCTACCTTTCATTTACTTCTACTTTTCCTCTCCAACTTCAACTTTTGTAAGGTTATCCTTATCTGTCCAACTCTTAAATGTAGAAATGCTTTTGGACCTTGTTTTGTGTTCTTTTCAGTCAATATATATATTTCCTTTATGACTCATCTATATCCTTAACTCAATCCCCATTTATACTCAGATGGCTCATAACTTTATTTTTTAACTCAGATGTGGTCTGAGTGTCAAGCCAGTAATTCCATCTCTATTTAACATCTCCTTTTGGACATATCACAACTCAACACTCTAAAACCAATTTCTTCCAGAATTTGTGTCTCAGCATATGGTACTACCTACTGTCTATTGATTTATATTCATTACCAGTTCAGGACTTGTTACTGATTCCCTTTCTTCTCCACTTTCCCATGTCTCATTATTCATCAAGTCCTATGGCCTTTCCTGTGTGAATCTACCTAATTCTTTCTGTTTCTACTAACAAGCTTTCATTATCCCCTCCTAGGACTAATATAGTAGTTTCCTAAATGCTCTCTTTACTTCTGTCTCATTGTTCTTGAGCCAGTTTTTTATTCTGTAACCAGAAAGTTTTTTCAAAATAAAAATCTGGTCACACACATGCTTGATAAAATTTTCAGAATTTTAAAATAGCTCTTACTGTACATACCTAAATCCTTACCATGACCTAGCATAGTATCTCTTACTAAATGTATGGAGGAGTGAAAGTATTTACATAAAGTATTTGCTATTAAAATAATATTGGTATAAACATGTATCTCCCTGTGTATTTTTACTCTTGATAGTAATTTTTTTTGGATATACTTGTACAAGTGGGGTTAATAGTGTGGTTTGACTATCATCTATTAAATATCAGGGTTAATGAAGAAGTGTTGTAGTGCCTTGTAGCTATTAAGAGAAAAAAAACATTAAGAGAAAAAAGAGGATTCAGATCTAGGAAGATCAGTAATTATTTATTAAGGGAGTCATATTATGACTTCTAGCTGATGAAAAAGAGTTGTATTTCAGAGAATTGCCCTGTCACTTAAAGGAATTTTCTTAGATTTTGTGTTCCAGAAAGTTGAGATTAAGTATTTTGTAAGATGGAACAAAGTAGCAAATCAATTAAATTTTTATATTCATAGAAAATGTGATTTTGTTCCTATAGACCACTCAGACATTTATTCTGTTTATAAGTTCTTATTATAATCTATGGCAGTAATGAAGAAAGGAATGATTGGATATGGGATGGTCACATAAGATTTAACAAACAATGTATAAATTTTGGAATTTTCATAGTAACTAAGGCTATATAGATCATTTGGGATGCTATAACAAAATACCACAAATAAAGGGCTTAAAACAACAGAAATTTATTTCTCATAATTCTGGATGTGGAAAGTCTAAGATCAAGGCACCAACAGGTTCAGTGTCTGTTGAGGAGTCACTGTGGGGTTCACAGATGGTACCTACTTCCTGTGTTCTCATAGGGCACTAACAATTCATGAGGGATCTGTCCTTATGACCTAATCTTCTCACAAAAAGCCCAGATCCTAATATTTTCACCTTAGAGGTTCTGATTTCAACATGGATTTGGGAGGAATTCAAAACCTTCAGACAACGACATCTAGTGTAGTTGACATGGGACAGCATTGTGAAGCAGGCAAATGATGTTGTCAGAGACATGTTCTTCTGTCTCTATCTCCTATGGTTCATGGCCTTAGAAGGAAGATGGTGCATCTGTGTGTATGACATGGGTAGAAAATACACAATGATATAAATTGCCTTCACGGAGAGTATTAGGGGAATCAGGTTGCTACTCACTCTTCTACTGGTAGTTCCATGACTTTGGGCAAGCTTGTTAATTTCTGTGAGACTTAGTTTCCTCATCAACCCCTATTTTACCTGCAAATTAGATTGGATGTGCTCATTTAAAACTTTATTTTAAATGTATTTATTTATATTTATCCATTTATTATTTAAACTTTATTATGATTTTAGTCATAAATTTGTTTACCATGAAGACAAAATTATATAACATGGGAGCATAAATGGATTTAAAAACCCTTTTCAGCAGGTTACCAGGCTGCAAAATAATTGTCAGTTGGGCTCTTAGGGCACTGAAAAGTACCATGAAGTTCTGAAAGAGTTAATATGTATTATTTGTTTAAACTTATGTACTCAAAGGAAGCTTAAAATCCTGTGATTTTCATAAGTAACTCTTTAAAAATTCCAGTTGCTCTTTTAGTCCACTCTATTTTTTTTAAATTTTTTTATTGGTTGTTTACAACATTACAAAGCTCTTGACATATCATATTTCATACATTAGATTGAAGTGGGTTATGAACTCCCAATTTTTACCCCAAATGCAGATTGCAGAATCACGTCTGTTACACATCCACAGTTTTACATAATGCCCTATTAGTAACTGTTGTTAGTCCACTCTATTTGCAGCTTTGTGTTTATTTTCACCTTTCTATTAATCTTGCATCAGCCACTTGGAGGTTGTTTAAGCAAAACACTGATTTAATTGGTCCATTTGTCATTTGTTCTTATTCTAGGCAATGGGCCTCACCATGACCGTTGCTGTACTTACAATGAAAACAACTTGGTGGATGGCGTTTATTGTCTCCCCATAGGACACTGGATTGAGGCCACTGGACACACCAATGAGATGAAGCATACCACAGACTTCTATTTTAATATTGCAGGCCACCAAGCTATGCATTATTCAAGGTAAAAATACTGCCATGTTTGTAATCGTGAAAGTAGGGCAAGAGGTGGCACTAGGACTATGGGAATATTTGCTGTCCTGAAACTGCAGTGTCTTTGAAGGGGTTTATAGGCCTGCGGTGCCTTCAGGAGTTACAGTGAATCAGGGTGTGAGCTCTTTTTATTCTAGATGTAAATGAGTTTTTATACTATTATTTTACTAGATATATATGCTAGTATAATATCTGGACAGGACAGTAGTTAGCCAATTTCTGCTCTGAGATAGTGAGGAAAAAAAGGAAAACGACACTAAAATAGCCCAGATCAGTACTTGTATCCTTTATGCCGTCGACTAACAGTGAAATACAAATTGCTGTCTCATAAAAGTGTATTCAAGTGAGTGTTTGTGGTAAGCAAGACATAAAAACTAGATTGGATGTGATTATTTGCTTTATTATTTATTAATATTTATGTATTGTTCATAATAATGGAAATATATACCATAGTAAAAATTCAAACACTAAAGAGGATGCTAAATGAAAAGTAAGGCTCATTGCACTTTCCTCTCTCCCTACTCATCAGAAGTGATTATTTTTAACCTCTTTATGATTGTTCTGGTATCTTAAATAAGATTCATATACTTTATTTTCATATATTAATTTAAAATAGCTATTGATTTCCCTTTATTACATGTGAGAAGTTTCTGTCTTTTATGCTTTACCCTCCCTTATCACTCTAATTTCTATAGACATAATAAAATAATTCCATTGTTACATACCTTCATAAAATTTCTATTTTGTGACCCATCAATTTTTGACTGTGCCTTGTGATTTTCTACTTTTTAATTGTAGAGATTTATTTTTCATCCTAGATTGTTTTTATCTCTACTTTCAGCTAACTTTCTTTACTTTCATGTTTTTAAAATTAATAGACTGTACATTTAATTTAGCAAATAGAGATGTCTTTTATACTTTGATGATTTGAAACATAAAATCAATATCCAAAATTTAAAACATTATGTAAGTTTATTTACAGTAGAATATGCAATGTCTATACCTTCAGCAAGGAAATGAATTCTCATTCTTAAAAAAATGTTTTGCTTTGAATTAGAGATATAATCAATACAGAACATAATAGGTAGAGAGAGAAAATGCAATTTCATCATAGTGTTAAGGCGTTCCTATTCTTCTTGAACACAACTTTCCTACAAATTCATGTTTGATGCTAACCTTGCATAGTATGAGGAAGAGAGGAGTTAAAGGTGACTGTGGTTTTATGGGGTAAGGAACAGAATTAATGGTGTTGCTGCCTACTGAGATGTGGAAGACTTTATGGTAGAGATTTGGGTTAGACACTGATATAAAAATTCTATTTTAGTCATATATTTTAGTCTGTTAGATGACAGAAAGAAAATAATTTTGATATCAGGAATTTGAGGGAGAAGTTGGAAATGGAGATAAAAAACACAAAGTTTTCACTATATAGATAATATTAAAAGTCTACATGAGATCAAAAGAGGGAAATATAGAAGAGGTAAAGAGAAGCAGTGAAAGTACTGAGCTCTGGGTCCATACAGTGTAGGAGTCAAGCAGAAGCAGAGGGTCCAAGAGAAGAATGAGGAGCACCTGTTAAGACACGCTGACATTAGTGAGCATGTGTGTACAGGATGTTTTTCATTTTTCCTGAATGCATTCACTGAATCCTTTTATCTGGGAGAGGCATGTCTTAGACTCTAGAAACTTCTACTATATGATTATTTTTTTGTCCTTTCATTGTCTTTGTTCTTTGTTATTACTGATGTTTCTTAGTTTGTTATTGGACCTGTTGGATTTATTTTTTATTCTTCAACTTTTATATTGAAGAATATTATTTTATTACTTTACATTTTGGGGGCTTTCTTCAATTTTTCCCCAACTGGAAAATACAGAATATTTTCTTCATTTTGGTAATTATTTCTTAATTTTCATGGACTCTTACTTAGTGTCATTCCCTTTTGGAATGTTGGTATGTTCCTGTTTATGAATGGCTATATTCATGCATCTTTCTTAGAATACTTACAAGAATTAAAGATCTCTTCTTTTTCTTTCTCTCTCTCTGTCTCTCTCTTTAATTTTGAGACAGGGTCTCACTAAGTTGCATAGGGTCTTGCTAAGTGGCTGAGGCTGGGTTTGAACTTGCCATCCTCCTGTCTAAGCTTCCCAAGAGGCCCAGATGACAGGAATGTGCCACTGGCTAAAGATCTCTTCTCTCACTGGAGCAATCTTGTTTTCTCCTGAATCAGGTTTTTTTTTTTTTTTAAATTTTGAGCTTTTTCTTTTGTGTCGTTAGTTTATAAATAGCTGGTAATTCTTAGATGTTCATATTTATTGTATGAAAAGATAAGTGGATTATTACAGGTGGCTGCTGTGAGTTTCTCTACTATTGTTGGTTTCTCTGCCTCTGAGAGTAGTGCCTGCAAGCGGCGGTGTAGGAGCAGATCTTGTCTTCCATAACACCTAGCTCCAGGCAGTCTGCCTGGGCACTCCTCCTTCCACCGGGAATGAAAGGACAAAGAGGATCCATTGTAGACTGTGCCCCTTCAAATAGATATTTCAACTTTTAAAGGAGATTTTTTTTCAGCTTCCATGGATAGTATGAAAGCTATATGAGGTTAGAAAGAATCGTAGTTCATACTAGTTTATGAAAGAAAGTTTGCGTTCATTACTTTCTTTAAAGCAACTTGGTTTTACATCCAAGTCTCTATCCTACTGACTTCTCAGATAATTCAACATGTTGTTTTACATTAAAACATGTAAAATGCATTCATAATTTGTAACAAATTATGTGTAATATATAATATGTATGCTGTCAATCCTCCATATATGTAGTATCCACATCTATGGATTCAAACAACTGTGCATCAAAAATGTTTAGAAAAAATTGGGTTAGTACTAAATATTTACAGGCTTTTTTTTGCCATTTTCCCCTAAATAATATAACACCTGTTTTAATAGAGTAAGTAATCTAGAGGATTGCAGAGGATGTTATGTGCAAATACTGTACATAAGAAACTTGAGCATCTGCAGATTTTGATATCTAATGGAGATCCTGGAATGGTTCATTCACAGATATGGAGGGAGGGATTGGTATATAAGTATTTATATCTGGAGTTTAATGTATATGTAATACACCTTATACACACATGCCTATGTACATATGAATGGACAAGATATCAAACTTAACAGTTTTAGATCTCACAAATATTCTTTGTTCCTCTATTTAGCTCTGTAGTGGAAACAATCAGGAACTTGGTAATTAAATAACGATTCTTAATAGTGGACCTGTGCCATGTCTTTACAAAGGAGTCCCATCACATTTCAGTGTGTCTCGCAGTTCAATCTTGAAATCATATATATGGAAATCAATTGGGTGGTATGATTTTTTGTTGTTGTTGTTCATAATCTCCTTTTATTCAATATTTCCATAGAATAAGATCTCACAACTTTAGATGAAATTAAATGACTATAAAAGTTAAATATCATCAAATATTTTCAAAACAATTCAGCATTAGCACTTTTTATTTTTTTTATTTTTTATTTTTTTAATTTTTATTGTTGGTTATTCAAAACATTACATAGTTCTTGATATATCTTATTTCACACTTTGATTCAAATGGGTTATGAACTCCCATTTTTACCCCGTATACAGATTGCAGAATCACCTCAGTTACACATCCATTGATTTACATATTGCCATACTAGTGTCTGTTGTATTCTGCTGCCTTTCCTATCCTCTACTATCCTCCCTCCCCTCCTCTCCTCTCCCCTCCCCTCTTCTCTCTCTACCCCCTCTACTGTAATTCATTTCTCCCCCTTGTTTTCTTCCCTTTTCCCTCACTTCCTCTTGTATGCAATTTGGTATACCCCTGAGGGTCTCCTTCCATTTCCATGCAATTTCCCTTCTCTCTCCCTTTCCCTCCCACCTCTCATCCCTGTTTAATGTTAATCTTCTTCTCATGCTCTTTGTCCCTACTCTGTCCTTAGTTACTCTCTTTATATCAAAGAAGACATTTGGCATTTGTTTTTTAGGGATTGGCTAGCTTCAC